TCAACATGGCAGCAAACAACAAATGCTGGCCTAGGTTGTGAACAGATTGGAACTCTTATTCACTGCTTGTAGGAATGCAAAATGGTACAACTGTCAATCAATGGAAGGTGGTCTGGCACTTTCTCAAAAAGTTGGAAATAGAAATGCCATTTGACCCAGCAATTCCACTACTGGGAATATACCCTAAGGAAACCAGACCCACAACTCAAACAGATATATGCACAGTCATGTTTATTGCTGCAGTATTCATAATAGCAAAAAGATAAAAGCAACCTAAATGTCTATGAACAGACAAATGGATAGAATAATAATAGAATATTCACACAATGGAATATTATGTAGCATTGAAAAACAATGTACTCTTAAAACATTACACAGCATGAGTGAGCCTGGAAGTCATTATACTGAGTGAAATATCTCAGTCACAACAGGAAAAATACTGCATAAAACTGTTGTTATAAAATAGGACTGACATAGGGTGTTGGGGGAGAATAGGAAAAGAGTGAATAGATAATGAACCCTGCTTTAGAACAGAGGAGAGGGAAGAACTATCTGAAAGGAATATATGATTAGGCATTATATGTATGACGATTTGGAACAGAAGGTCATTGCAAAGTGGACTGGAGAAGGGGAGGGAAATGTTCAACCATGAACAAATTGAAAAACACACGAAGGAAATAAACTATTTCTATGGAGTGGGAAACATGGGAAAGAAGGGGTTATACCCAATTAGAATGCTTTGAGGGAAATCTTTGAGCAAAAATTAGTTCTGAGTTTTGTTGAGACTAGAAGAAGACCACCTTGGGCACCCAGGTTCATTCTTTCTCCTTCATCAGCTCAGGTAACACCATTAATTAATAGATACTACAGTGCTTAACAGCTAAGCTAGAGCTTTTGGATCAGTCTAGGTGAATCTTGGTCTGACGCTTAATACCTAGAAACATAAAAGAAGGTTATGCACGTGGATTTCACAAGATGATATGCATAGGAATCAGATTGATTACATCGGTAGAAAGAACCGGTGGAGAAGTTCAATATCAGCTGTGAAAACTAGTGCAGGTGCTGATTGCGGAACAGATCACCAACTACTCATGCAAGTTCAAACTGAAGCTAAGGAAAAGTAAATCAAACGAAAATATGACCTTGAGTCTACCCTCACCTGAATTTCAAAACCATCTTAGGAACAAGTTTGAGGCCTGGAACACCAATGAGTGAAGAGTTACGGGAGGATATCAAGAATAACATCGAGGAAGAGTGCAAAAGGTCATTACAAAGAAAGAGGAGGAAGAAAAGACCAAAATGGATATCAGAAGAGACTCTGAATATTGCTCTGGAGCACCGAGAAGCCAAAGCAAAGGGAAGAAATCAAGATATTACAGAGCTGAGAAGAAAATTTCAAAGGGCAGCGCAAGAAGACTAAGTATTATAATGAAATGTGCAAAGAGCTGGAGTCAGAAAATCAAA